AGATCGAACACGTTTTCAAGAACTAGGGCAATAACTCATACTCAATATTATTCAATATCGCCCTAAAGAGTTCAAAAAAAGTGTATGACTGAAGGTTGAATATTTCATACTGGTGATTGTTACTGTACTGCTAAATATTTATGTTCAAAATCAAAGCTGCCAGTGGGCAAACCTGGAGCATAACCTTTTATATAAATTTCACTCCAATGATATCAAGAACGAGATTGTTTAAATAAAACAAAGCTATCTTTCCACTATTGACGGCAGAGATATTATGTGAGAAGGCATGTGCAGACTCCGGAGATGTCATATTTCAAAGAGTGAAATGGTGACAAATAAGGATTTAACAGCTTGAACAGGGTGGGATAATTCAACCAAAGCACCAACTCACTGGGCACATGATATCTCTGCCGTCAACAGTGGAATAAAACTACAATCAAACTTCACGTTACAGGTAAGTCTCGTTTAATTTATAAATTTTATTCCACTGATTGACTAAACCGAGATGTCAGTAAACAATTCAAGTAAACTATATTGTCTATATAGACTGTCATGCTTTACAAGCAAGCAAAAATCTTTTCTGAAAACACACCATCATTTGTCACTGGCTTATCGTAATATTTACGAAAAGTTGATTCACGAGACCAACCACCAGTAAGTAAAATCGTAGAGACTGACACATTACACCTATTGGCAGAACTAGTAGATGCAGATCTTACTGAGTAAGGTGTGAATATTGATACATATATTCATTGTAAACTGTTAGTACACAAAGGCGACGATCTGGAGCATAACCTTTTATATAGATTTCACTCCAATGATATCAAGAACGAGATTGTTTAAATAAATCAACAAAACAAACTTTAAGACTATTAGCAGTCACTGACACATTCCTTGTGTCTATGAAATGCAGGGATTGTATTTTTTATCCAGTCAGCAAAGCCAACAAGTTTAAACGTTAAATGCTTCAACGTCAGGAGTTCAACTGGAGACAGTTTTTTCAAATACTTTAATACCAAATCACAATCCCAAGTAACTTTATTCTTGGGCAACGAAGGACGAAGATTAAACACTCCCTTCATAAACGAGAAATCACAGGTAAAGATCCAACAGGCTTATTGTCAATTGAAATAAAAGTAGATAATGCAGATCTTGCAGCATTTAAGGCACTATACATTAGTCCTTCATTAAATAGAAGAGTTAGAAAGTCAATCTCAAATTCTAAATTAGGTTCAAAGTGATCCACAGATTTCCTATCTGCAAACAACAACCATCTTTTGATGTAAGAGGTGTACTGGGTTTTGGTGGATTCTCTCCACGATGACAGCAAAATCTTCCTAACTTCTTCTCAAGACTCTACTCATAACACTTCCTGTCCTGAGACTAGCACGGCTAATAACTTCATTCGTGGTAATTCTTGAGTCTCTGATAGGATGACTGAGAATGTCTTCTACACTAGGCAATAATATAGGAAATTCAATGAACATTTATTTTAATTAATTTGGTAAACCAATACTGATTTACCCACCATGGCACAATAAGTATGCCTGACACTTGGTCTGATTGGATTTTTGTCAAAATTGAACCAATTACACAAGAAGGGGGAAAAGCATTAAATCCATTTTCCCATGCTTTAGAAAAGGCAGTGACAGCTAAAGTATTTGGATCTGGCTTATAGGAATAAAATTTTTCAACTTTATTATTAAGTCTAGAAGCCAACAAATCTATATTTGTAGCACCAAAGACATTAGAAATCTTAGCGAAAATGTCAGAATCTAAGACTCATTCCATTTTTTCATGCTTAGAGTGACTTTGCTTGTCTGCATCAACATTTAGAGAGCCAGGCAAATGGTTAGCAGTTAATGTGATATTTCTCTCTATACACCATATAAATACATCTCTGGCTATTTCATATTGCCCCCTCCCCCCCCCCCCTCTTTTCATTTATATAAGGGACAGCTGTAGTATTGTCAATCAAAAGTAAAATATGCACATTTCTTAATGTATGACATAAAGCAAGCAAAGTATACTATATATATATATATATATATATAATATTATTGGCCCACCAATATAAGTCAGCCTCACAACCTGAATTAATAGCAATGGTGCTTTCAAAATTTCCCAAACTTTTACTCAGAGCTGAAGATTTGAGTATAACACACCTTCTGTAAGACAATTGTCCATATGGTACAGCGGGAAATGCTGTGCACAGCCATCTGACCAAATATCTTGGCAAATTGTCTTATGGAAAGTTTTTGCTTTGCAATTAAAAGCGAACAATCAGATTTTAATTTATGAGCTCTTTGACAGGCACAGTATAGTAAGTCTTGCACCAATCAACTGAGGCCATGATATCCTTAAAAGTGATATCATTTTAGTTTTCAATTCTCAATTTTTAATGTTTTTTGCTTTATTTGACCTTTCGTGACCTTTGACCTTGAATAACTCAAAAACGCCCCCTGACCCGGCACTTAACCTCCCAGATTCGGATTCCTGAGGAAAAATTAACTCAGATTTTGTGCCCTCTCGGGTGACAATACTCCCCCTTCTCCCTCTGGTCTATCATATGGGAGCCGCGGTGGCTCAGAGAGTTAGACGCTTGCTCACTAACCTGAAGGTTCAGGGTTCAATCCCGTCATAGGTCGAGATAATACCTTTGGATTTTTCAACGCGGTTTCCCCCTGTCAGTGATGCAGGTAAAAGGGGCTGACATGGAAAAAGCGTCTAGTCGTTCGGATGGGACAATAAACCGAGGCCCCGTGTGCTACAGGCTGTGCACGTAAAAGATCCCTCGACAGTTGGAAATCGAAAAAGAGCAGGCTAATGCCACTGTCCTGGCAAAATTTCCCTCATGGCACCCTGCATGGCGTTGCCCGTCTTCATTAGCCCACAAGGTGCAGAAGAGTAGGACGTAAAACTCCATTCATTTCATTTTTTCATTTCTGGTCTATCATATAAACAAGGATTAGCAAAAACTGTTCCCAAAAATGTATTTATGTTAAGGTCAAAAACTTTCACAGAGCGTCTTATTGAAAAGAATTCAAGAGAATTGTTAAACACCTACCAAATAACACACAATTGAGAGTCAATTCAAATGGATTTATTTTCACAAAAAAGGACAAAATTAATATTGAGATATAGCTAAATAGAGATACATCCATTGAACAGAATTTACAAGTTATGACTTTGAATGTTTGTGGATTAAAATCGAAATTATTATCAAATGACTTTGAACATTATATAGCCAATTGTGATTTAGTTTGTTTAAGTGAAAGTAAAACTAACTCATTAGATTTAATTGACATAGATAGATTTAGAACAGTAATGAAATCTAGAAAGAGTGGAAATAGAAGCGCAGGTCGTTTTGCACTACTTGTTAGAAAGAACCTTTTTGACTATCTAATATATAACTTATATAACTTATATATGTATCCTAAATAAAACTGATGATGAGTTCTTGTTGTGGTTCTCATTGGAAAACAGTCCTTTTGGACATGAACTATTATTCTGTGCTGCCTATATTCCTCCCTGTAACTCTGGCTATTGTTCGACTCAAATGTTTTATTCATTGGAGGCGAATGATTTTAAATTTTGTACACGTCAAACTAAATTCTGTCTAATGGGAGACTTTAATGCTAGATCTGGTGAGATAAATGATTTTCTTATAAACGAAGATTTGGATGACAGAGAATTAGACGAATGTATGAAAGAGAAGACTGAAATCAAACTCAAACTAGAATCCTTTGATGTGCCTCTTTACAGGCGAGATGAAGATAAAACAGTGAATACTTATGGAGAACGTCTTGTAGAATTGTGCATAAACTTAGGGATCTATATAGTAAATGGAAGATGTGGTGATGGAAATAACATTTTGTCAACTACATGTGCAGACTGTTCGGTCGTGGATTCGTAATTTGTTCAACAGACAAATTTAAGTGCATCTCAGACTTTTCAGTACGTGAATTAAACCCACTATTTTCAGATAAACACAATCCAAAATCTAAAATCTAAAATCTAAAATCGTTTTCATGCAGAAACCAACAGATCGTGACCAATGTGGCAGAATTCAACAGAATAGATTGGGATCAAGATAAATGTCTGGATTTTGCTAATTCTATCGATAGAGTTAAACTAGACTCCAATAACTGATGAACTAAATAACCTCAATATGAAAGCTATCAATCAAATAGACAAAGATGAAATGTCTTTTAAAATTGGAGAACTGTATGGTATAAGTGCTAAGTCAAATAATATTGCCATAACAGTGAAAATCGAAAACGTATTTGTGAAAATAAGCCTTGGTTCAATGAAAACTGTATAAAAGAAAAATGTTTTTCGCTGCTCAAAATAATTTCACTTTTTTTTATTTGTAATATAATAATATTAATGTTCTCTTAATGATAATAGCAGTTCTCTCTCTAATTAATAAGAATAATACTCTCATAATGTTTTTATCTAAATGATCATACTCTATTCAATATACTAATATCATAATAATAATCTTTTATGAAATAATATGCTAATATTCTATCTTTATAACTTTTTAACACAATATAATGTTCCCGTAATGTAATAGTTGAAATGTTTTGTATTTTAATTCACATATTTTCCATGAATTAAAGTCTTAAAGTCAAGTGTGTAATTCGAGTGTAATTATATACTTGATTTATTTATGAGAGTTTTAATTTTCTTTTTTCACACCAGGGTTGAAGCTAACAAGCTAGAAGTTTCAAAAGATCCAAAAGCCAAGGGATAAAGTCTCATGCCATACTCCAGGCTGTTGACGGTTCTCATTGCTATTGATTTAAAAAATATTGTGGAAAGACTATCAAACATTAAAATTCTATGAACATCAATTCTGACAGCTGCCAGTTGGCGTATGTTACCTTACATGGCAAGCTATCTTAAACTTACCTTATTGTTACCTTGCATGGCACATTAAATGTTCTTATCTTTTATAAACAACTCCAATTTGTTAAATTCTTTTAATGTTTTTTCAGGGATCTTTAGCATATGTTCCTCAAGAAGCCTGGATCCAAAATGCTACTGTTCTTGACAATATTATATTTGGCAATGGTTTAGACTATACAAAGTATAACAAAACAATTGATGCTTGTGCACTACGTTCTGATCTTGACATACTACCAGGTGGTGAAAAAACAGAGATTGGAGAAAAAGTAAGATTTTTTTTTTGTGTCTGTGTCACAGAATCCACTTTAATAACACTGATAGACAAAGATTCAGATGGCAATATAGTGGTGCATATCAAGGCAGACAATTCTGGGCTCAAACGGAACTACAGTGTACTTTGTGATACAATGGGCCCCTCACTAAACTTTAACATTAATTAAAGATAGACTTAAGTCTGACTTTTGGTATGCACAGACCGCTTGATTTTTACGAAAATTGTGCTTATCATTTACTTGAAAAGATATAAAATGAAAGCTGTGGTGAAGTTACCTCATTAGGTGACTTGAGCTAAACTTTGTTGGTTGCAGACAAGAAATAGAGAATTACTTAGATCAACTACACTGCAGTTACTCAAAGAATTGTTAAATAATACATCAAACCTTTTGGAAATATATAGAGTTTCAAAGGCAGGTGTAGTGGAATTTATGGATATGGTAAAGTTTAACAATTACCAATGCTGATATCAACTTATTCATATTCCACCCATGTAACATCTATTGATAACTCTACGCTGGTATATTATGCATCTGGGTCCTCTAATTAAAAAATGGCATCCACCAGTCTATTGTCAGCAGAACTTTCAAAAGTATATCATGTTCAATAGCTAGCCACAAGTCTGATGCATCTGAGATGAAATAACCCAATTTTAGAGGGACATCCCGTTTTTCTTAAAAAGGTTTCATTATCAAAAACGTTGAAAATTATACCTGAAAATAATTCTCAAGTATGTTATTTATATCTAATATCTAATAACTTGATAATTAAACAGTTTTACCAAGTTTATAATGGTTTGATGTTCTCTACAATTAAGCGTTTGTTTTATTCAAATCCGTACAGTAGTTTTCTAACAGCTTCAAAAAAGTATTATGTATAAAACCATAACTAATGTTTTAAAATATTTTTGGCGTTTAAAAATCAACTGTTTGATTTTTATTAGTTAAAACTTACAGAAACGTTAAAGGCACATTTCTCTAGAATTTGGTGTGTAGTTTTCACAAATTTAGGCCAAAATATTTTTCGACCTACAAATAAAGCGGGATGTCCTTTTAATGTAGTTTCTATGATTTGGCTAATTTTGCAGCCATAGATTGTACCCATATCCCAAAAGGGGAACAAGCTGAACTTTTCAGAAACCGAAAAGGATGGCATTCTATTAATATTCAAGTAATTGGCAACCACAACCTCACTATACTGATATTGTAGCAATTTGGCCTGGGGCTACACATGACACGAATATTTGACAACAGTCCCATTGGAAGAATGGCAAAGTGGTAGCTATATTGATTTTGATAAACTTGGTGTGATGCTTTAGATTGATAAGATCTCGGTCAAGTTCGAATTTGACATATTTTCGATGAACGGTTTTTGAGATATTGCCCTTGACTTTGAACGCCTTGAAATTTGTTAAAAATTGTTCGTGAGCAGGATTGAAGCTACAGTTTTCATCCGATTCTGATGAAACTTTGTGTGATCATTGGAATTGATAAGATCTCGTACAAGTTCTAACTTGACGCATTTTCGATGAACGGTTTTTGAGTTATTGGCCTTGACTTTGTTAAAACGCGTCGAAATTTGTTAAAAATAGTTCGTGAGCAGGATTAAAGCTACAGTTTTCAAACGATTCTTATGAAACTTGGTGTGATCATTGGAATTGATAAGATCTCGGACAAGTTCTAACTTGACGCATTTTCGATGAACGGTTTTTGAGTTATTGCCCTTGACTTTATTAAAACGCGTCGAAATTTGTTAAAAATAGTTTGTGAGCAGGATTGAAGCTACAGTTTTCAACCGATTCTGATGAAACTTGGTGTGATCATTGGAATTGATAAGATCTCGGACAAGTTCTAACTTGACGCATTTTCAATGAACGGTTTTTGAGTTATTGCCCTTGACTTTGTAAAAATGCGTCGAAATTTGCTAAAAATAGTTTGTGAGCAGGATTGAAGCTACAGTTTTCAACCGATTCAGATGAAACTTGGTGTGATCATTGGAATTGATAAGATCTCGGACAAGTTCTAATTTGACTCATTTTCGATGAACGGTTTTTGAGCTATTGCCCTTGACTTTGTAAAAACGCGTCAATATTTGTTCGTGAGCACAATAGAAGCTACAGTTTTCAACTGATTCTGATGAAACTTGGTGTGATCATTGGAATTGATAAGATCTCGGACAAGTTCTAACAAGAGATATTTTTGATCAACATTTTTTGAGTTATTGCCCTTGACTTCGTAAACACACGTCAAAAGTTGTTTTTTGCCCTTGATTGGAGCTGTGTGATTTAATTGTTTGTTGTATTTGGGTTATTGACATGATTTTAAAAAATTTTGTGGAATTATTCAGCATAAATAATTTCTTCAATATGAGAAAATTCGTACTTTAGTCACTAAAGACTGTTTTATTATTTCTGACAGCTGCCAGTTGGCGAATGTTACCTTGCAACGCAAGCTGTCTTTGTGTTTATAAATTAGCGAAATTAGCTTCTGGATTGGTGTTTTTACAATATGCAATCATTTTAATAATCACATATAAGCTATCTTTTGTTTAGTCATACCTGAAAACTATCTTTCGTTCGGTAATATTTGAATTTAATTTTTCATTCAGTCATACCTGAATTCCATCATGGTGTTTTTATCAGGCTTTGTTATTGAAATGAAAAATTATAAACAATTGGGGTTCTTCATGATGTAATGGTTCTATAGGCCTACAGTCTAAATGTCTTTCACGTGTTGAGTATGTGACACTTGATAGGTTTCTAAATAGGAAAATCTAGTTATGGTATTGCATGTTTCAACTGGAAATATTAAACCGTAGAATTTTATCGGGAACTGAAATGTGTGGATAAACTAGGCTCCACTGTATACCATAACGGTACATAAAACATTTAAACAAATATTAAGGCAAGGTATCTTTAAATGAACATTTAAAACTTTGATTTCTATTAGTGTTGACAAGCTTGACAGCTTATTTACTATAACTGCACCATGTTAAGTAAATTGGATTATGAAATGAAATTATTTGATTTACCCAAATTTTTCGTCGAAATTAATCAAAAATGCCCTAAATATGGTGATTCTGAGCTCTCAAACGATATACAACATTTTAAAAATGGCTGCTTGAGGAGGTTGGTGATAAAGAGCTCCAGAGCTTCAGTTAGTAAAGATATCTTTATAAAGTGAGAATAACCAGAATACTTTGGCAACAAGAGTGTACCTAAGTCAGGAATAACTAGTGAAATTCTTGTGACTTTTTGAAAACTGATTTTGGAAATAGAAGCTTTTTTTCTGAAATCCTTTGTTTGGTGAATTCACAGTGAACTCTAGCTTGAAGATAATCAACCAGAACAAAAAATACAAACAAGTATTAGTAGGCTGAGAATAGGAGTAAACACATTTATAGTCTTAACTGACCTGTCTACAGTGATAATTACACTGTTCAGTACAAAATGTCAGAAAATCCACTAAAAGAACAAGAGAAAATTCAACCCCAGTTCCAGTCAGAAACAAACACTGGTTTAACAGATTTACAGGATAGTGTAGATATTCTAACAACTAAAATAGAAAAAATGTTGACAAAAGATGATCTGAGAGAACTAATTACAGAAATAAGGTGAGTTAGATACCTTAACTAATTCATTGGAATCTAAAATAGAAACTGTAAATATAGCACTGAGCATTTAATTAGAAAGTGAAAATAGTTCTCTCAAGGAACAACTAATTGATACCCAAAATGAACTTAAGATCACATCAACCAAAGTGAACAAAGCTATTGTAATGTCCAACTATAATGAACAAAATTCCCGAAAATTAAATATTAAAGTTCTTGGGCTGAAGGAGGAAAACGAATCGTTGAACACAAAATTTCTTGAATTATTCAGAGAATGTACGGGGATAACGTGTGATATTCAGGATATTTAAGACATCCATAGATTGGCGTCAAAGTCAAATCCAAAACCAGTTATAGTGAAATTGGCAAACAGTAATATAAAAACAAATATTATTAGAAACAAATCTGAATTCTTCAATCGTGGAATAAAATTTTTTGATATCACCTTTAAAAACATGCATTTGATTAAAACATTGAGAGCCAACAGTCATGTTGAATCCGCTTGGTACTTTAATTGTAATGTTAAAGGCTCATGGGAAGGGAAAGATTAGAATGGATTTGTTTGACGATGAACTCAAAGTCTTAACGGCCCCTGTGCAACAATAATGTGAGGAAACAGACCATGCAAAGTAGTGCAAGCCCACTACAGTTTCATGTTGATACACATTGAATTACATATTCTACCAAGTCCTGTTCTTATTTTTCTTCATGCTTTTCTGTTTATGCAGTGTAATCTAATTAATTGACACTAAAAAAGTATACTCAAACTAATTAATTAATTCCTCTCAGTGTAATCATCCCTTCTTTTTATACATGACACCATGTCACTTGTTTGCTTTATTGATTTTCTTTGTACAAATGTACTTTTATAACACTTGTAAATATTTATTGGTGATTATAACAAATCAAATGAAAGTGGTTAAATATCGTTTAAAACGAAATATTATGCAATATTCTATTACTCTATACTACTATATCTTAATGTTTTCTTATAAGAAACTAACTGTATGTCTACTATGTTTCATCATTAGCAACAAAAGGGTAGTGATATTTGATAATGGCTGATCTAAATATCATTTCAGTCAACTGTAGGGGATTGGCAAATAAACTCAAAAGAATTGATGTCCTCGAATATTTGAAACAAAAAAAATTTGATATATGTTTTTTACAGAATACACATTGGGATAACAATATGATATCCAAAATAAAATTAGGATGGGGTAAAAATTGTGTGATATGCCCATATAAAACCAATTCAAGGGGCATTGTTTTTTTGTTTCGGAACACATTTGAACTAGAAATTATAGATACAATAATGGATGATAATGGTAATTTTCTCTTCCTTAAAACTATAATCAATAAAGAAAATTTACATTTTTAAACCTGTATGGTCCCAACAAAGATAGTCCCAAATTTTACGAGGAAATCGAGGAATTAATTTCAAAAGCTATTAACTGCTACTTAGTAATTGGGGGTGACTGGAATTTGGTTCTAAACTCGTATGTTGATTCAAAAAACTATTTGAGAGTTAACAACCCTAAATCAAGACAAAAGGTAATAAACTTTATAGAAAAATATGACTTATATGATATATGGCGACAACGACAACCGTTTAAACAGGCCAGACTTTTTCATCATTTCAAACGATTTAATTCCATTTATTAAAGAAGCCAGAATACTACCTGGTTACAAGACTGATCATTCCATGGTAAATTTAAAATTAAATACTACCTGTTTTAGTAGAGGACCAGGATACAGGAAATTTAACAACTCATTGCTTGGCGATCATGATTTTGTAGAAATTATAAAAAAAGAAATACTTTTCATGAAAAGACAATATGGTCTTACCCCTTATTCAGATAGCTTTATTTTGGAAAATTTAAATATGCAATTCAATATTGATGACCAAATTTTTCTTGAAACATTATTAGTTTACCTTCGTGGAATTATTATTTCCTACTCAAGTCTAAAAAAACGTAAATCTAAAGAGAACCAAAACTAGAAACAGAGATACAGAAAATAGAGAAATGTCTCTCAACAAACAATGTTGAAGAATATACGAAAATGAAAGAAGATCTAGAAAATTTGAGGCAAGTGAATTTATCGGGATCAATAATTAGGTCCAGAGCAAAGTGGTACGAAGAGGGAGAAAAGCCTAGTAATTACTTTTTGGGACTTGAAAAACTATACAACAAAATTCATTAAGGAGTTAGAGGATGACAAAAGGGAAAGAATTATGGGACAAATGGAAATAATGAACGAACAAGAAAATTTTTTATAAAGTATTGTATTCTAAAAACTCAGAAAATACTAAGGATATCTTTGATAATGAAATTTGGCAATCTTCTAAATTTAATGTGTTTACAATTCACAAGAAAGAAAGTTTAGAAGTAATTATTACATTAGCAGAACTATCAAAAATGAAATTAAACAAATCTCCCGGACTTGATGGTTATACTGTAGAATTCTTTAGATTCTTCTTTAATGAGGTTGGAAATATATTACTAAATTCCATTAATTTTGGATACACAACAGGGTTGCTTAGTGAAACACAATGAAAGGGTGTAATAACATGTATACCAAAGCCAGAAAAATCATGGTTATATCTTAAAAATTGGAGACCCATATCACTACAAAATGTCACATATTTATAAAGTAGCGTCTGCTTGTATTGCTGAAAGAATCAAGTCTGTCCTGCCCTCCATTATTTCTACTGATCAAACGGGTTTTATCCCAGGCCATTACATAGGAGAGAATACAAGATTATTATACGATGTGATGTTTGAAACAGCAAGGCAAAAAATACCAGGTCTAATCCTCCTGATTGATTTCGAGAAGGCTTTCGATACAGTAAGTTGGAATTTTATGCAAAAAACTTTGAATATTTTTAATTTTGGTCATTCTCTGAAGCGCTGGGTGGAGGTCTTTTATACAAAAACTGAATCGTGTATTTCACAAAATGGTCACCTTTTTTTTTTAACCTGGGTCGTGGATGCGCCATGGGGACCCTCTTCTCTTTCACCATACCTTTTTCTAATATGTGCGGAAATTCTATCAATTTTAATCAAAGGAAATAAAAATATAAAAGGTATTGTAATTAATAATGATGAAAAATTGATATCACAATTTGCTGATGATACTGCAGTTCTATTAGATGGCACAAATAAATCATTAAGGGAAACATTAAAGACTTAAGATAATTGTTACTCCATGTCAGGTCTTAAGGCAAATATTAATAAAACTAAAGCAGTGTGGATTGGTCATGTCAAGATAAAAACTTAATTTGGGAAACAGAGAATTTTAAAATGTTGGGTATCATATTTAATACTAATTTAGAAGACATTGGCAAAATAAATTTTCAGCAACATATACAAAGTTTAATAAAATTGATGAATATGTGGTCATGGCACCCATTGACGCTAATGGGAAGAGTTTGTGTCATCAAATCATTGGTTCTACCCAAATTTATACACCTTTTACAATCACTACCAAGCCCAATAGAACAAATATTTAAAGAAATTGAAGATCTCTTCTTTAAGTTCATATGGAAAAATAAACCAGATATAATTAAACGTGATATACTGAAACAAGATTTCTCTGTAGGAGGTCTAAGAGTGCCTGATATCCGAGTCTTTAATCATTCTTTAAAAATTACCTGGGTAAAACGCTTATGGCAAAATCAAGACAAATATAAATATTTTACAAACAGCTTTCAAAATTTTAATCAAATGTTATTTGCTAGTGGTGCTCTTTATTTGTCTTATCTTAATGTTGAGAATCTATTTTGGAAAGATGTCTTTAACTCTTGGAAATTGTTTTGTGTAGACATAGTTACATAGAGGCGTTAGGTTAAATACTGATTTATTAGACAATGATGGCAGTACTTATTCCTTCTCTGATTTCAAAAAGGTATTAAATTTAAAATGTGGCACTTATCTAGACTACGAAAGATTAAAACAAAAATGTAAAAATCTAAACATGATGATTGATGGAAATAAACAATATGTTATGGGGCCGAAACAATCTTTATTTTATAAAAATCTTTCAAATAAAACTGGAAATCAACATATCTATAATATTTTGTTCACAAAAGACATTTGTCTACATAAAAATGAAATAAAATGGCAGGAAAACTACCCAAATGTTATATTTAATTGGAGTCACATATAGCTAGACAGTCCATACATAATCCAAAATAATTGAAATGCAATATAAAAATTTTACACAGAATATTGAATATTAATCCATATTTATTTAAAATAAAAAAATCGAATAATAAATTATGTACCTTCTGCGAAATATATGAAGAAACCTACAAGCATCTCTTTTTAAAATGTAATAAAGTTGAACCATTATGGAATTATATCGAAGATTTGTTGTCAAAATGTGATAATAACATTGTTTATAATATCGAAAATATTCTATTTCATAATCGAAATCACTCAAAATTATCAAACTCAATTACTTTTCTTGCAAAATATTATATTTACTACTGTAAAAATTTGGGACATAAGTTATCGATTAACGCTATGACCGCATATATCAAATGTCAAATTAATACAGAGCAGTTTATTGCTAACAAAAAGGAAGAAGATCAAACTCAGAATATTTGGGAAACATTTCTATAATTATTATGATGTTACTCTACAATCATACGATTGTAAAAACCCCTATAGTTGAAACGTCTCGAATGAAATATAATTTTAATGATGAGACAAAAGTTTAATTATTATTATATATTCATTGAAAACATTTGCAATTTTTTATTTAAAAAATTACTGCAAACATTATTGCTTATTAATTATAGGGAATAGATAATTTTTTCAAATTGAAATGATTTTGACCAATTTAATCAATTATTATAAAAAAAAATAATGTTAAAGGTGTCATGATGTAAGTTAAACTTACTGAGACACCAAGGAACCACGCCCACTGCTTAATTGACCCACTTTATTATTTCTTATCCGAATTTCTTCAAACTTGGTATATACTTATAAAAATGATTAGTGCTTCGCAGGAAAATATTGAAGTGTACAACTTCCTTATCTCTTATATATATTTCATCAAACTTGGTATAGTTGTGTATAATCAAAATTTAAATTGGATGAAAATATTTTTGAGCATGAACAGCTTTCATATTCCTTATTCAAATGTCATCAAACTTGGTTTGTTGTGCGCATGCACATTACCAACTTTTTTATTTATGTGTATGTCTATAATCCAAATTTAAATTTGATTATAATATTGAATTTGTGTCGTAATATGTTCACCTTCATATGTACCTGTTTGTCGAAACAAGCCCTGCATCAATACTGTTAAGGGAACAGTTTTAGTTTTATTTCTATTTATATTAAAGGGTATTAATCTTAGTGGTGGTCAAAAGCAAAGAGTTAGCCTTGCCCGTGCTGTATATAATGATGCAGATGTTTATTTAATGGATGATCCTTTAAGTGCTGTAGATTCCCATGTTGGGAAGCATATTTTTGAAAATGTTATGGGTGCTAATGGACTACTTAAGGATAAGGTAAGATCTAGTTAAATCATAGTAAATTTTGAGATTTTAAGATCACTGATGATTGATTGAAACATTCTGTAGGTTTTTTATGTCTGCAGGAAAATATACAATGAGGTGCAAGACACACAATTCAATTTACAAAGCTCTTCAAAGGTCCAAATCTAGTAATGTGCTTTTAAAATCTGTTGTAGAAATAAACTGGTCCTCATTCTAACATATTTCATTCTTTTTTTTTTGTTTCCAACAAGTCTCCCCTTCGTTATTGATAGACACATGAAATATTAGTCTGAAATTCGGTGATGTCACTTTTTTTTTCGCCCACATGAAATATTGGCGTCGCCCATGTCTGTCTGTTGGTCTGTCTCCATCAACAATTGTTTATTGACTGTCTATCAGACACAATTATTGACAGAATAAATTGAGTTATTGCCTTTGTTCTTGACTCACAAGCCATCATCAATGATCAATTTATGAAGCTATATTGGGTATCTGTCATGATAAGAATGTTATTAAGCAATTACTTAATGAAAATTTGGATGTATATTGTAAGCTGTGGTTTCATATGTAATGAAACATTTCAGAAGTAGAAATATCTTTGTTGGACTATAGTAAAATGTGAAAGTACAAAGGAGCATTCTACTTTTTATACGCCCACATGAATATGTGGTCGTATATTGTCGTCGCCCCTGTCCGTCGGTCCGTCCGTCAACATTTCTTGTGAGCACTACAGAGACTACAGTTTTTATCTGATTTTGATCAAACTTGGTGTGATGCTTTAGATTGATAAGATCTCGGTCAAGTTCGAATTTGACATATTTTCGATGAACGGTTTTTGAAATATTGGCCTTGACTTGAAATTTGTTAAAAATTGTTCGTGAGCAGGATTAAAGCTACAGTATTCAACCGATTCTGATGAAACTTGGTGTGATCATTGGAATTGATAAGATCTCGGACAAGTTCTAACTTGATGCATTTTCGATGAACGGTTTTTGAGTTATTGCCCTTGACTTTGTTAAAACGCGTCAAAATTTGTTAAAAATAGTTCATAAGCAGGATTGAAGCTAGTTTTCAACAGATTCGGATGAAACTTGGTGTGATCATTGGAATTGATAAGATCTCAGACAAGTTCTACCTTGACGCATTTTCGATGAACGGTTTTTGAGTTATTGCCCTTGACTTCAAAACACGTCAAAATTTGTTAAAAATAGTTTGTGAGCAGGATTGAAGCTACAGTTTTCATCCGATTCTGATGAAACTTGGTGTGATCATTGGAATTGATAAGATCTCGGACAAGTTCTAATGTGACGCATTTTCGATAAACAGTTTTTGCCCTTGATTTGTAAAAACGCGTCAAAATTTGTTAAAAATAGTTCGTGAGCAGGATTGAAGCAACAGTTTTCAACCAATTCTGATGAAACTTGGTGTGATCATTGGAATTGATAAGATCTCGGACAAGTTTTAACTTGACGCATTTTCGATGAACAGTTTTTGAGTTAATGCCCTTGACTTTGTAAAAACATGTCAAAATTTGTTCGTGAGCACAATAGAAGCTACAGTTTTCAACCGATTCTGATGAAACTTGGTGTGATCATTGCAATTGATGAGATCTCGGACAAGTTCTAACTTGATGCATTTTCGATGAAATGTTTTTGAGTTAATGCCATTAACTTACGAAAAACGCGTTAAAATTTGTTTGTGAGCACAATAGAAGCTACAGTTTTCAACCGATTCTAATGAAACTTGGTGTTATCATTGGAATTGATAAGATCTCGGACAAGTTCTAACAAGAGATATTTTTGATGAACATTTTTTGAGTTATTGCCCTTGATTTTGTAAACACGCGTCAAAAGTTGTTTTTTGCCCTTGATTAGAGCTGTGTGATTTAATTGTTTGTTGTGTTTGGGTTATTTTGTGGAATTATTTAGCATGAATAATTTCTTCAATATGAGAAAATTCGTACTTTAGTCACTAAAGACTGTTTTATTATTTCTGACAGCTGCCAGTGGGCGTATGTTACCTTGCAACCCAAGCTATCTTTTTGTTAGTCAAAATATTTTTTTGGTTTTTATGATAACTATACACAAAAATTTTAAGAAACTTGTCTCATAACATATATTATCTGAAAGTTTTAACTAAACAATCCGACAGTCAAACTGTTTAAAAACATAACATAGCTTTTAGGTCGTTATGCCTTTTTATACGACATGGGGGGGGCGTATATTGCCGTCACCTCTTTCCGTCCGTCGGTCTACAAGGCACATTTCTTGACTGATTTCGACAAAACTTGGTATGGTTGTTTGTAATCACCCAAGGATGAACCCTATTGAAAATCAGACGAATCAAAAAATATTTACTATGAGTTATTGCTCTTGTTCTTGAAACGCTCGTAAACACTCTAGAAGATGCAATTCATGACAGATTTTGATGAAACTTGCTATGAGTGTTCGTTTTTGTCCAAGGATAAACCCTATCGAAAATTTGAAAAATATTTAGTATGAGTTATTGCCCTTGTTCTTGAAAACGCGTTCAATTTTAGCGTGTAAACACTCTAGAAGGCACAATTCTTGATGGATTTTGACAAAACTTGATGTTAGTGTTTGTAATGACCCAAGGATGAACCCTATTGAAAATCAGAAGAATCGAAAAATATTTAGTATGAGTTATTGCCCTTGTTCTTGAAAATGCATTCAACTTTTAGCTTGTAAACACTCTAGATGGCACAATTCTTGACAGATTTTGACGAAACTTGATGTTAGTGTTTGTAATCACCCAAGGATGAACCCTATTGAATATCAGAAGAATCAAAAAATATTTAGTATGAGTTATTGCCCTTGTTCTTGAAAACGCATTCAATCTTTAGCTTGTAAACACTCTAGAAAGAGACAATTCTTGACAGATTTTGACAAAACTTGGCATGAGTGTTTGTTATCACCCAAGGATAAGCTCTATTGAAAATCAGAAAAATCGAAAAATATTTAGTATGAATTATTGCCCTTGCTCTTGAAAACGAGTTCAATTTTTAGCTTGTAATCACTCTAGAAGGCACAATTCTTGACAGATTTTGATGAAACTTGGTGTAAATGTTTGTAATCACCCAAGGATGGACCCTACTCTAAATCAGAAGAATTGAAAAATATTTAGTATGAGTTACTGCCCTTGTTCTTGAAATCGATTTCAAATTTAGCTCTTACACACTAAGAGGCATGATTGTTGCTGGATTTTGACAAAACTTGCTTTTATTATTTAGTCCCGCACTGAAGATTGAATATTTGCCTTCTAAAGTTTTCATGAGCTAAAAATTGAACACGTTTTCAAGAACAAGGGCAATAACTCAAACTCAATATTATTCATTATCGCCCTAAAGAGTTCAAAAGAAGTGTATGACTGAAGGTTGAATATTTCATACTGGTGATTGTTACTGTATTGCTAAATATTTTTATTCAAAATCAAAGCTGCTAGTGGGCGTATATTACCTTGCCTGGCAAGCTATCTTTATATCGAATATGGGGTTTGTTTATATGCTTGGAAGGTAGTTAGGAGAAATGTTTATAGTTTTATAAAAAAAATTATTCGAATTAAAGTTATGTCTGGTTCTAATGTCTAATATATTACGCCTTTAAGGTTCAGTGCCAAATCAGTATTGTACTTAAAGCCAAAAATTAATTTAAAGGCTATCTTTTTTATACGTCCACATGAAATGGGGGGTGTATATTGTCGTCACCCATGTACGTCGGTCCGTCCACAATTGCTCGTAAACACTCTACAAGACACAATTCTTGATAGATTTCGACAAAACTTGGTGTGAGTGTTCATAATCACCCAAGGATGAACGGTATTGAAAATCAGAAGAATCTAAAAATATTGAGTATGAGTTATTGCCATTATTCTTGAAAAGGCGTTCAATTTTTAGCTTGTAAACACTCTAGAAGGCACATTTCTTGACGGATTTTAACGAAATTTGGCTTGAGTGTTTGTTATCCATACATTGCTGTGGTGTGCTGAAGCTCCTGTCTATGGTGAAAGTAGCAATGATGAAATTTGTAAATTTGTTGATTCTACAATTACATGCAGTAGAATGATGGAGGATGAAAATTTGGCAGAGTTTGTGAAATATCAAACTCACAAGCATTCACACACTTGTATCGATTTGGTTTTCCCAAACCTCCTATGAAAGAGACTATAATTTTAGAACCACTTGAATGTGATTTTCCACATGTCCAAAATTTGTGTTGGATGTCTATGCTTGTGCAATGTACATTGCTTCGTACATAGCAAAATCACAAAGGGGTATAAGCGATATTTTACGCAAAGCTTGTGATGAAGTAAGAAAGGGAAATGGTGGAATCCGTGAGCAAGTAAAGGCGATCGGAAATAAATTTTTGAATAATATTGAAATTAGTGCCCAGAAGGCTGTTTACATTATACTACAATTATCTATGAGAAAATCATCTAGAGAAGTTGTATTTGTAAACACGTCTCCTCCTAATGATAGAGTGAAACTCCTTAAAACTAAGGAACAGTTAGAGGAGTTAGAAGATGATGATGAATATGTGCAGTCTAGCAATATGATATCTCGTTATAGCAAAGGCCTAAAAAATTGGAAGACATAACACTAGCACAGTTTGTGTCATCATATGATAAAAGAAAGCGTTATGTTAAACGTTCTAAAAATGTTGAACTTGAAACTTTAATAGAAAATGCTGAAGAGCATGACTCTGATTCTGATCAAGATGATGAAACAAACAAATCGTTAAAACGATCTGTTCCTAGGGTGAAAAGATATGTCAATTTTAACATTGATAAAGATCCTGAGAAATATTATAGAGAGTTGCTTATGCTCTATACTCCCCTGGAGAGATGAATTTGTAGACTTAATTGGAAATCATATTTCTTATGCTGAATGGTTTGAAGAAATGAGAGACAGAATAGCAGGTTTTGTTTAAAAATAACAGATCTGCTGTTGATACAGCAATGATTGCTGAAAAAGATAATTTGGATTATGCCTGGGACAAAGAAGTCCCTTCAGGTCAACAGCCTGAGAGAGGAGATGAACAAGAAGAACAGGATAATATAGATGTTTTGAAAGAGAAGGGCGAGCCTGTTAAATTTGAATATGACATTGGTCCAGATCTTGGTATACCCAAACAAGACACTGAAGATGCCATAAAATTGTACGAGATGCCAGAAAATGAGTATAGACATTTGATGAGATCTCTAAATGTCTATCTCAGAATGAAATTTGTAAATGACACATTACGTGTCATTAAGACATCTGAAAACCAAGTGGTGGGGCTGGTGTAGGTAAAGGCTTTGTTACTACAGCATTGTATCAAAGTTTACTACGCTACTATAAATCAAAAGCTGGTGATGACTATCAGACGATAAGACAGTTACTGCTAGCACCTACTGGTAAAGCGGCATTCAATATTAAAGGAAATACTATCCATAGTGCTTTGAAGATTCCAGCCAATCAAAATATGGAATATAAAAGTTTGGATTGCAGTAGATTAAATACCATTCGAACACAGCTTGGAGGTTTGAAAGTGGTTTTTATTGATGAAATATCTATGGTTGGAAATAGAATGATGAATTTCATTAACAGAAGATTGCAAGATATTAAAGGATCTCCTTTTTTTTGGAGGAGTACATGTCCTTGCAGTCGAAGATTTGTTTCAACTGAAAGTACTAGAGGTTTCAATTAGGTCGCATAAAAGGGAATTCCCCTTTTCATGGGTTTTCCCCTTTTCATGGGAATTCCCCTTTTCATGGGTTTTCCCCTTTTCATGCGCCCCTAATTGAAAGCTCCCATAACATAAAGCCCTAAATTCTCTACATTTCATAACTTCTTACAGCAAAAGACCTAAATTCTTACACCTATATTCCCTAAATTTCATAAATTCTTACAACCCTACATTTCATACACCAAAAACACCTTCAATCAATTTCCTACATTCCATCAAAAAAAAAGCATATTAAAAATACCCTTATATAAAATAACATTTTTAGTAGATGGGAGATAACTCTTTTTGGATAAAAAACAGACTAAATTAACTCATTTAAAAATAGGATTCTAAAACACGAACAACACAGATTCGAAGATTATTCGGGCGACGGTATCTTTTCTTCATTATTTTCTCTAGGTAAAACAATAATTCCAAAAGTAGCTAGCTTTATTTCAAAAAACAAATCACTCATTTCAAGCGGAGTGAAAGCCATCGGCTCAATCGCTGAAGCAGGAAAGAGTATAAGCGATACAGTGAAACAATCTAACGAGTTGACAGAATTAGAACTAATAAGAGAACTTCGAAACAGGAGATTAGAAGAAAGGAAAGGAAAAGGTTTTAAAGTTATAGGATAAAAATGATGGTCGCTCACCCTCCAAAAACTTATTTCGGTTCAGGAGATATACAAAAATCATTGGGTTCTCTTCCTGGATTTCCATGGGCGAAATATCCCGGAGAAAAACATCTCCCAGGGCATAATTATACAGGTGCAGGCACAAGGTTAGATCTGCGATTAGACGAAAACGATAAACCCAAACTAGGGGAAGATCCAGTCAATAGAGTTGACGCCGCTGCGCTCAAACACGATATTTTATACAGAAATAAAGACATAAAGTTTAGACACGAAGCAGACAAACAAATGATAATAGAACTTGAAAATATTCCAAATCCAACTTTCAAAGAGAGAATGGAAAGAGCATTAATCATTAAACTGTTAAAAGCAAAGATGAAATTAGGTATGGGATTGGCGGATGAAATTCATAAAGAATTTAGAAAAACTAAAAACTTTTTAAAAGTCAAAGTGTTTGAAAAAGATGAAATATGGTCAGCCGATTTAATTCATATGCCAGTCGAAAGAGGATTTAAATATTGTTTAACAGTTATAGATTTATATACGAGATATGTATGGGTTATTCCTTTGAAAAACAAAACGGGATTATCAGTCAAACACGCATTTGAAACGATTATGAAACAATCTAACAGAAAAACTGGGTAGATAAAGGAAGTGAATTTTATAACAAAAATATGAAATCTCTGGGATTTGAAATTTACAGTACGCATAACGAAGGTAAAGCTGTAGTTATTGAAAGATTTAACAGGACTCTAAAAAATAAATTATTCAAAAAGTTCACGGAATTGAAATCCCAAAAATGGCTTAAAATATTACCAGAGGTTGTCGACGAATACAATAACAAAATTCATTCATCTATAGGTGTCACACCAACACAAGCCTCGAGTAATCCAAATATTATAAAGTCAATTAACGCGCAACATAACTACGAAAATGAAAGAAAGAATTTAAATATCAAACCCAAATTTAAAGTTGGAGATCGAGTTCTTATTTTCAAATATAAAAGTAAATTCGAAAAAGGTTACATTGGATACTGGATGAACGAAATATTCATCGTTGATAAAGTAAACACCACATCACCTCCGACATATGAATTAATCAATCAAGACAAAGAACAAATCATAGGTAGGTTTTATCAAAACGAACTTCAAAAAACCGACTTTTAAAAATGAATGAATTTCTCGATAAATATGGAACCGATACAACCACAAACTTTCAACTTATGAAATGGGCGAATGAGTTAAATATATCACTGTTTTATTATTGTATGAAAGATGAAATAAATGATCTCAAGGATAAGAAAGGTAAATTATACGCTATAACAAATATACATACTTCCAATCAAAAAGGAGTTCATCATTCTGCTTTGTACAAAGACTCTGACTTTTATTTCTTCGATTCTTATGGATTAGAACCCACTGAAGAGATAATCCAATTGACTAATAAACCAATCAAATGTTCAACATTTCAAATTCAATTACCGGGACAAAAGTTTTGTGGTCAACTTTCACTTTGGGTTTTATATCAGTTGAGTTTAGGAAAACAGTTTGAAGAAATTGTAATAAATTTAACTCAATAAAAATGGCGAATAAGTTTGGATTAGGTTCTTTATCTTTAGAAACCAAAAAACCTAACACTACAGCGTGGATAAATAAAGCGAAACCTTACTTCCTGGATCAAATCGGAGATACTCTTCAAGGTGATTTAGATATGAACAATTTTAGCATAACTAATTTAAAGTCTCCGGAAAACGATAATGATGCCATTCACAAGAAATATTTAATGGAACAATTAAATTTAATTGAAGTAAATAAAAACCATTTAAAAGAAAGAATAGGCGATGTGAAAAGATTCTTCAAACGTCAACTAAATAATAAACATTTTATTGATGATACTAAATTACAAAAAGAAGTAACAAGTTTAAAAAAGTTTATTCAACAACAATTAGTCAATGCAGTAGATAAAACTCAATTACAAAATTTAAGTTCATTAATATCTAATTTAGATGATAAGATTACAAAGCAAAAAATAGATCTTAAACAACTAATAGCCAATATTAATCCAGGTATAAGTGAAGACAAATTGCAACGGGAATTAACTAAATTTAAAACTGAATTACAAAAAGAACTAACAAATATTCAACAACAAATACAAAACATAGACGAAATCAAAACCTATATTCAACAACAAATACAGAACATTGATGATAGTGTTATTCAACAACAGATAACCTAGTTTTAAAACAGGATAAAAATATACTAGCATTAGAAAAAAAGTTTCTCAAGAAAGAATCATATTATTTTACTCTTCCATTTAGAAGTTTGAGTTTTGAAGATGCTTCTATTACTGATAATACTGATAAATCAAAAGACTTTGAATATAAAAAATATGGATTTACAGCAAATATAAGAGTATATTCTGTTCCAAATTATACTATTTATCCCAAAACAATTTTTGAACCAGATGATGTTGGACATCATCAACCAATGTATTTTAGATTTCGAGGAAAACTTACAATTGAAATAACTTTTCCTTTTCAGGTAAAAGTTGATTCAATATTCTTAAGACAAAACCCAGGATTTTCATCTAAACCTCAATTTAACGTTCTTCAGTTTATCAATGGTACAACAAATGTAGAAACTAAAGAATTAGAAATTAACGATGAAAACACCCAGAGACGTCACTTATATGAAATTAAAACGAGTGGAAAATATATAGATAGGTTTAGAATGTTAATCATACCAGATAATGAAGAAGATGTACTTTCATTGAATGATTTTAATATGTTATTGGAAACGGAAACTCCACCATCAGCAAGTATTATTAGAAATCCAGAACCACAAAAAGAACTAATCAATTATCAGTTTTTACGAGCAACAGACTTTGAATACGTAAAACTATATTTTGTTGATGATAATGATATATTTATCTCACTCGATATTCATAAAAGTCAATAAAATCAAAAATTTTTAATAAGAGATGATACATTTGTTACTATGTTTTTAAATATTAACACTAAATCAAAATTTTCAGTTCATCTGAATAAGATTAATGATTCGAAAGAACAAATATCCTTAGTAAGTATGCATTTTTTTAGTGATTTAGCTATATCAGAAATTCACTTAATTTAATTACCTAAAAATGGAACTCGAAAGTAGACAAAACTACATGATAGAAAAACAAAACGAACTAAAAGAAAAACTAAAACAATTCAACAAATGTAGAAAAACATGGAGTAAAATCGATTCTGTTTTCAAAACATTAAGTACAGTTTTAACAATAGGGATAACAGTGGCAACAGCTGTAACCGGTGGATTAATGCTTCCAATCATCGTCCCAACAGTATTAGCCTCGTTCGCTGCCGTTCAAACTTCATCTTGTGGTTTGATTACTTTAGGTTTTACATCAAAACAGAAAGCTTAGTATAAAAGGAAAACAAAAATTTTAAATACATATCTTAATAAATTATTTATTTTTTTCGAAAGATCGAGAGAGTATAAGAACATAACCATTGAAGAATTAGAAGAATTCAATGAAATTTTAGATAAATTTGATGTAGAAATATCATCAATAAAAGTTAAAATTCCTAGTTAAAAATAGTTGCTTTAAAAATAGTTGCTTTAAAAATATGAATAAATTTATATCACATAAACTTTTTTCCAATGTTATTGAGCAAGTCGTTGATGAATTTGTATCATTTAACGGAAAAATTGAATTAGATGGAAAGGTAACTCATGATGGAAAATACCTACAAGACATAAAATTTGTAGGTCCTGATCACATGTCTTTTGTCGAATTCTTCATGTCGCTGGATGGTAATCATGCTAATTCGAATATTTCTTATTGGTATTTCACAGGAAAAATGATTTTCCATAAAAAGGCTAGTGGTAATCAAAGCTCATTATAATTTTTTTTTTTTCGAGACAATAAAAATTCCTAGTTAAAAATAGTTGCTTTAAAAATATGAATAAAATTGAAATTGTAGACGATAAAAAATTCATACAAGTGAAAATTTTAGACAAGATTTTAGACAAGACTATTGACAAGATTATCTCTGATGAATTAAAAAATATGGATAAATTCATATCAAATAAACTTTTTTCCGATGTTATTCACCTTATCTCTAATGAATTTATAACATTTAAAGGGTAAATTGAAATAGTTGGAGAGATAACTCAAGATGGAAAATACAAACAAGACATGAAATTTGTAGGTTTTAATACCAAAACTTTTGTGAATTTCTTCGCTACAGTGGATGAAAAATCAGATGCCTCCGATTGGTATTTCAAAGGAAAAATCATTTTCCGTAAAAACAATTTCAAAGAAATAAAAAGATCAAAAAATGGTAGTGGTGTTAGCCTACTCAATAAGATAAAAGAATATATCGGTATAAATTGTTATATACCGAGTGATGGATGCTGTTTTGTAAAATGCGTAAATTATGTTTTGAACAAAGACTACACGAGAGAATTTCAAGATTTCATCAACAGTTTTCAAAAATCAAACAGAAAAGGAGTTATGACATCTGCTAGAATCTGCGAATTCAATAAGAAATTTAATACTAATTTTCAAATATATATGCCCAAACATAGACTTTTTCAACCAAAGAAAGTAACCGAAGAATTAGATTGGGTTTTTTATTTACACAAAGAACATTTCTGTTTGATAAGAAGAAATAACAAAGCTTTGGACATTAAAGAAATAGAAGATAATTACGATGAAAACGTATGGAGAACTTGTGAAGATGATAATGCGGCAACGCAAGTTTCACTTCTAAAACTAAACGTTTTTCCAACCATTCCCGATTATTGTTTATACGCATGGGATTGCAAAACCTATTGCGAAAAAGAAACGAATAAAGCCATTCCTTATTGTTGTACTTTAGTCAATTTGGAAAAACTGAGGAAAAGATTAGATGATTATAATAATTACTTACGTGATTTAAGTGATTTTAATGAGACTCTAGATTTTAAGCCGTCAGATCCCATTTCAGAAGAATTTTACAACAAACTGATGACTAATATAGTAGAAATATTTGTAGGTACAGATTGTATAGATCAAATGTTACAACGTTTAGGAAAAGTAGATCAGAAAAGACTAACCTTAATTTCCCATGATCAAAAACGTAAAAAAACTAACACAATGTCCTTTAAAAACAGCTAGAGGAATTCTGTCTCTACCTTTAACTAATTCATTCACTGATGAATATTTACAGAAAAAATGGAAAAGACAGAATATTAATTTCACATGTTCCTATCAACACGAATCATCTAGTTTGGCAGCATGGGGAAAATCATCTAATCTACCAATGAATTTGAGAAAGATCGAGGATGTTAATATTGCAAAATACATTAAAGATAATTGGGAATCTTTAAGACACGAATGGGAACCTTACGCTAAAAGAGATACTCTATGTCTCGGAGCTTGTTTGATAAAATACAATCAAGCCATGAAAAAAACTGTCTTCCAAAACGTTTCCAATAATCTAACGGCTCCTTCTTTATCTTTAAAGGGTTGGTATTATTTATATCATTACGATAAAGAAATGGTTGAAGAAGAATGGTATGAAAGTACTAGAATGGTTCCGAAACATACGGAAAAACAAAACGTAGAAAAAGTTTACTCGCATACTCACCCTTTTATAAGATATTTTATCAGACAAAGTATTAAAGGAGGAAGAGTTTCGGCAAATCGAAAAACAAAACGTAGAAAAAGTTTACTCGCATACTCACCCTTTTATAAGATATTTTATCAGACAAAGTATTAAAGGAGGAAGAGTTTCGGCAAATCGAAAATCATTTGAAACGAATAAAATGGATGAGATCTGCGCCATATTAAAAGAATACAATGAAAGTGACACTGAAGGAATAATAGATTTATTCAAAGAATACAGTGTTAACCCAAAAGATAAAACGGAAGTTCACACTAAACTCAAAGAACTGAACTATTCTAAACTAATGGCATTTGATGCTAATGGGTTGTACGCTTCAGCCATGACAGAAGGTGAATATCCTAAAGCGGAAAGTGCAAGAGCGTTTCTACCAGAAGAAGAAAAAGAATTTGTAAAACTTTTCAATAAACAAAAATTCAGACCTAGAACTGCTATTTTAAAAGTTTGGTTTGAATATCCCAAAAAAATGTTCTTTCAGCTAAAGATAAAATAACTTTTACGAATAGAATAGGTCAGAAGGAAACTGGCACTAAAATCAGGTTCAGAAATGGTTTCTGTCACGACGTTTTAACATCAGTTGATATTCAAGAAATAGTGAAATCAGGTGGTAAAATTATTAGAATATTAGATGGTAGAGTATACAAAGAAAATTTTAAAACTCCACCATACAGAGATTATATTTTAATTTTGAAGGAATTAAGGAATAAATACAAAAAAGAAGGAGATATGGTTGCTAGTAATTGCATGAAATTATTAGGTAATTCCTTATACGGTAAATCTATTCAAAAGGATATAAATACATCGAGACATCTATGGAGTGAAGCGACTTTTAAAGCCAACTTCGATTCACACGTCAAAAGCTATGAAAAAGTAAATGATAGTCAATATATAGTTGAGATGAATGAAGAAGAAAAAGAGTTTGTTCCTCCAAAGGATTTTACTAGATTAACACCCACTCATTTAGGTGCATTTATATTATCTCACAGTAAAAAAATAATGAACAATTTCATTCACGTCATAGATGGATTTTATAAGCCGGAAATATACTATACAGATACTGATAGTTTATACATTTCGTCTAGCAAATGGGATAAATTAAATGAAGCTGGGTTGGTGTCTGAAAACGAGTATAGCAAAGGGAAGAATGATTACGGTGATGGTGGAATCATATTTGGTTTATATTTAGCGCCAAAAGTAAAATACAATATCATTCTAACTTCCGATGGTGTTTGAAAAGAAAAGAAAACGTTTAAGGGTTATTCTAACTATAAGATTAAGGTAGAAGACTACATTCAATTAGCTAGTGGAAATGACGTAACGAATGAATTTAAGAAACCTTGGGTAAAAAGTTTCACCAATGGAATAGTTATTCCTAATGAAAAACAAAAGAAAGTTTTCAGAAGTTATCTGAATCTCGTTAAGAGAAAAGCACCAAACAGTGAAGGAGTTGTATCCTTACAACAATAAAGATGAGATGTGTTTGGATGAAAACTATGAATTTGATGATTTCGATTATCTAACTATTCAAGAAGAGAATGAAGAGTGTTAATTTTTTTGTTTTAAATGAAGTTGAATAACAATTTCCTCATTACCAAAATCTATAAACCTATTTTTACCATCTTTAATTTCCAGATTTATATCTTTAATCATAAAGGAATTAAGTGGTAAATACGTCGTTTGAAATGGTTTCTCTATAATTCTATATCCTATTGGTACAGTGAATGTTGGAAGACTGTAAATAATCTGACGTTTGTATTTATTGAAAAATCCATCGTTTATTAAATTGCAATGTATATTTATCACATCGATATCATTCTCGATATTAGCTTTGTGTGGTGCTAAAGTGGATTCGGTGTATATTTTTTTTATCAAAGCCTAGTAACGTATTCAATGAATTTTCTACGTTGAAATCAACTTGACTATTATTTCTTAATATCAATTTTATTTTGTTTAGATTTAAATTACCTTCGAATTCGATATTGTTTTTACCATTGACGCTTCCTGCATATTCAGATAAGTATTCGTTAATGGCTATGTATTCGTAGCTTCCTGGTAGTAAACGTATGGTTTTGAATGTAACTCCGTTATCTTTTGATATTTTTATTTGGTTATTTTTTTCGTTGATATTTCTAATGGAATTGTAAACAGAGAAATACTTTAATCCCAATTCATATTCTTCATTGCGATCGAGTTCGTACTCATAATCTAGAGACAATTTAATGTCTGATTTATTCGAGGTGATGACGAATAGTTGTTCCTTATTTGACATTTTTTATTACGCTTTTATAATCATTTTTATCTATGATACCTTTCTCTAGGAGTCTTTTTAATATACAATTCACTTCATTAAATTGTCTGTGTGATCGATGTCCTTCCTTCATGGCCGCTAATATTACTCGTAATCTATTAAGCAATTCTTCGTTGTTGTCGAATAAAACGTTATACCTTGTCCAGATACCATATCTTCGAATTCGTCTATTTCTTGTATGATTGGATTAACATCTGAATCCTCTTCATCAGGAATTTATTCAAATATGTTTCAACTGCTTTCAATCTTCTTGTTTCGGGTCCTGACTTTCTTATTGCATCTAGAAATTTGGAGTATGCTAGTAAATCCTTGTAATCGGCAATGCCAATATACCCGCCATTCATTAAATCTATTAATCCTGTCGTTATGTCGATTTTGAATAATTTGCCCTAAATTTAATTCTAAATCCATTAAACAATAACCCCTCATCATCAATGATTGGTGTAATACTCTTTGGTAAATCTGCTTTAGGGTTTGAGAAAAGACGATTTATATCATCTAATGTCCTTATTATGATTTCATCATCTTTAATGGGATATTCTATTTGATGAGGTTCTATAGGAGGTGTAGGTTCTATAGGAGGGATGAGTCTCTTTTTAATATCCTCTTGAGATTTTAATATGGGTTGAAATAGAGTCTGTAGATTTTCTGTTAATCCGAGTTGTTGTAATCTGTTATTTTCAACTTGGGTTTTTATTTTATTCTTAGCTTTGATATATTCTCTATTTCTTTTTAAAATATTATTCCAATCCATTTTTAAAAAAATAAAATTAACATATATCGTTCATAACTCTTTCACCCGCAGGTTTTCTAGTATGTACAAATACATATCAATGATCATCTGGATATCTCCATTGAGCTTTACAAACCTTTTTAAATGCATCTCTGTCCATTCCGTGATTTATCGATTGAACGATTTGAGATTAATCTTTGTCGTTTAATTCAAATAATAAAAAACAATTTGCATTTTTTCTAATGAACATAGAATCCATCCCATAAAAAGATTGGGATTGGTATATGCAGTGACAGTTGTGATGTCTTCTTTTCGTGAAGAATTCTTGTTGAACGGCTTGATTTCTTTGCGCCACGCAGTCGTCAAACAACATTAAGTTCTTTCGCTCGCTATCAATTTGAGACAAATCTAGATCGTTGGTTTCTTTCCTTCGATGTAGTTATCTATGAAATCTTTCAATTCCACTTTTTCTTCGTTTTCTTTGTAATATTGAAATAGGTCTTGAACATCTCTCTTTTATTCTAAAGCTTTGCGAAATTGATAATACGATTGCTCTGGTGTTGTTGTGTAGATATACAAAGAATCGAAATCTGAAAGGTTTGGTGTTGTCAACATGTTAAAAGTGAGATGAGTTTTCCCAGAACCGGAACTACCGCATATACACATGAGCATTGGGTTATTAGGAAATATTTCTGAATGATTAAATTTTTTACCCATTTTTTATTATTTTAATTTGTTCCAAAAATAACTCCTTCTCCTTTATACTTCGAAAGATATATTCCTTCTCCAGTGCGTATATTTTTTAAAAATATTCCATTACCCTTATGTTTGACTTTGATTTCTCCTGTGTCAATACTATCAACTAATTTATTTAATCCTTGTTTAACAGTTTTCTTGGTTTCTTCACTAAATCTTTCATTGTGCCTATCATTTCTCCCACTCCTGAACCTTCGGCCAACTTTTCCATTTTTAAATTATGTCTACGTTGTTCGGCTGCTTTCATTGCGTCGGCAGCAGCTGTTACTTCATCTGCTTTCTTATCATTTTTCCGAATAATTCACACATATTTTTATAGTTTCTATACAATTCATTATAATCCTTTGTGGTTGGATTAATTGTTAAAGGTTGGTTAGGATAATTATCGTTGTTCAATCTTACTTGAACTTTATGGATTAAAGGATCTTGAGTTTGGTTCATTGCCACTCTAAAGACATTATTGTTATTCGTTTGAGAATCTGGTAAGTTCTTGAAACCAACTATTAAATATCTTGCTGGTTTAATAGTGTTAGTGATTGGCCATGTGGTGGATTCTCCAGTTAAAGTCATGCTACCTACAGTGTTGCGATGAAGAAAAGCTATTTCAATATCTTTAGTTAACGAGTTGAATATTTTCGTTTCTACTTCAATTGATGGTGTTATTACTGGTATGAAAAGTTGGAGATTCGTTATTTCTAATTTTGCATCTGAACCATTCTCTCCAAAGAATATCTTATCGTCGTTGATTTCTCTTTGTAGATGAATTTTATATGGTAAGCCTATGGAAACTTTTCTATGTTCCAACAGACCGAATAAAGGATATAATTTCCAATTTACGTAACCCCACCTATTATTCTCAACAACATTATTATACTGAAGTACTCGTTTTTCGAATCCATGATTAATTGCTCGTCCTACTCTTTCTATCGTGTTTCGAGCAACAACTCTCACTCTAGCTAAATCGGCATCATTTGCAAGATTTCTTACCAGTTCCTTTAAAATACTTCCATCGCCAACATCGGGTATCCAGCCTGAAACTGAATCAAAATCTTTAGGATATAAAACTGTTTTCAACATTGTGTCGAATTCCCCAGGATGTTTGATTGTTTCTATCGGATTTGAACCAGCTTCCAAAACCATCTCGCTAAATAAAGATGGAAAGAAATTGTTTTCTAAAGTTGTATTAGTTTGTGGAACTTGATTCTGAGTGGCTTCTTTAATTTTGAAATCACATCTGAAATAAGCATCGGAAAGAAGCAACCAATTCGATAATGAATTTATTTCGAAGGTAATTCTACCACCATCATTCAATTGGGATTTAGAACCAACAGTGGGTGAGATGATAATATAATCCTCTTTTTTCTTGTTAAATGAATAACGAATTGGATCGTATAATCTAAAGATTGGATCTAGTGTTTTATTTGCCATTTTTAAGGTTTAAAATTTGCTTTTTTGATGGAATGTAGGAAATTGATTGAAGATGTTTTTTGGTGTATGAAATGTAGGGCTGTAAGAATTTATGAAATGTAGGGAATATAGGTGTAAGAATTTAGGTCTTTTGCTGTAAGAATTTATGAAATGTAGGATGTTTAGGTCTTTTTTAGTGTAAGAATTTATGAAATGTAGGGAATTTAGGGCTTTATGTTATGGGAGCTTTCAATTAGGGGTGCATTTTCCCCATGAAATGAAATGGAATGGGGAATCCCCATGAAAAGGGGAAAACCCATGAAAAAGGGGAATTCCCATGAAAAGGGAAAACCCATGAAAAGGGGAATTCCCTTTTATGCGACCTAATTGAAACCTTTAGTACTACTGAAACCTGTCTTTGATTGCTATGTATTCCAAAATTTGAATAATTTGTATGGCCCTCTTGCCAGTAATTTGTGGAAAGATAATTTCAAAATGTATGAATTAACAGAAATTATGAGACAAAAAGATAGTAAACAATTTGCAGAAATGTTGAACAGGCTGAGGGAAGACAACTATGTCTCAAAAGAACAAAAGATGGAAGATATGGAACTTTTCAAAACAAGAGTTCTGTCTAATGATGAAAACTACCTATTTGTCAGTAATAAAAAGATGGATGAGTTCAATAGCAAGATCTTTGAACAGATAAGTGGTGACAAATATATCATCACAGCTAAAGACTGTGTTGTTGGTTCAGAAGCACGGGCTGTTGAAAAGGCTCTGTTGGCCAATGTTCCAGATGATCCAAGGAAAACTATGCAATTACGTAAACACCTAAATCGTGTAATAGATATGAAATGTGAATTATGTATAAATGTGAAAACTGATGATGGTTTGACAAATGGTGCTGATGAAACTGTAATGTTCATTGAAACACCAAATAGACGTACTGCAGTAGGTAACATTGTATGGGTAGACTTTAGAGATGAGATAGTTGGTAAACTAACTCGGCAGGATTTGAAGAATTTGTACAAATCAAATATGAATAAAAGATGGACTCCAATCTTACCAGTTTCCAGGCAGATTAGGATTGGTAGATTTAAGAATGCAGAGTTGATGAGGACTCAGATTCCACTGAGACCCTCAGCTGCTAAAATTGTGCATAGATCTCAAGGGGATACCCTTGACAAAGTGGTTGTTGATTTTAGAGGAATGACAATGGCTCATATTCATTATGTTGGATTGAGTCTGGTTAAAACTCTTGAAGGCTTGCATATTGTAAATCTTGTTGATGACAAGATAAAAATTAGTATGGAGGTGAAAGACAAAATGCTTTCACTAAGAAATGAAAGGAAATTAGAAATTGAAGAATTTGATTCTCATGTTACTGATGATGACTCTTTGATAGTCATTTATCATAATGTCAGATCCTTACAAAAGTATATTGAAGATGTGAAATCCAGTCATGTTGTCAATAAAGCACATGTTGTAATATTGTCCGAGACAAGATTAAAGCTGAAGACTGATAATTTGTATGAAAAAGTTGTCAAAGAATCGGTATTGATACAACAGAATTCTATTCAAAGTTGATTGGTTTTGGTGCTGATGGGGCAATGGTAAATGGAGGTGATAAGGCTGGTGTGAAAGCTTTGTTGAAAGAAAAATCCCCTTGGATGATTTATGTATGGTGTGTTGCTCATCGATTGGAATTAGCATTGAAAATTGCAATCAAAGAAACTTATTTTAAAGAAGTAGATGAAATGCTGTTGAGGATTTTCTATCTGTATCACCAAAAAACTTTCTGAATTGAAAGACTTAGTTGATATTTTGAAACAGGAGAATCACAACACCTTTGAAGAAGGTGGTTTTAAACCAAAGCGTGCTAGTGGAACACGGTGGATATCTTACAAATTGGCTTCTTTGAGGATGATTTTTGATAAATCTGGTGTATATATACAGCATTTAGAGAATCTTGCAAGTGACAGGTCAACAAGTTCGAAAGATAAAAACAAATTAACTGGATACCTGAGAAAATGGAAGACTCCAAAAATGCTTTTTAATATAGCACTTCTCATTGACCTGTTGTTACCTGTTTCTTTGTTATCAAAGGCTTTTCAAAATGAAGAAATTGACGTTGTTTCTTTATTCTCTAAATTCTTTAGAAGCAACTAAAGAAAAAATGACAAAATTGGCCAGAAAACCATTAGCTGAGATGCCTAGCTTAAAACACCTAGAGTCCAAACTGATAAAATTAGAAAATTGTTTTGAGTATCAAAGTGTAAAATTTGATGAAAGTGTGTGTAAAAATGTGTTAAAAAAACTGTCTCATGATAAAGCTGAACTGATTGACCTGATAATTTTTAATTTGAAAGAAACGTTGGAAGATGATGACCGTGAACTTCTAAGAAAAGTGGCTAAGATTTTGAATACCCAGAACTGGCAAGCTCAAGCTGGAGTTGACAATAATGAAAATTTTGCAGATGATGATGTTTTGTTTCTTTTGGAACACTTCTATTTAATTTCGGTGTCTAGTGGAATTGACATTCCTCCACAGGAAATTTGAGAGGAATGACATAAACTCGTATTATTTGCATTAAAATATCTTAATCCTGTACATAATGAATATAAAAAAACATGGAGAGTTATTTTTTCAAATGTACAAAGCAGCAATGAGTGGAAGAACATTCTCTTAATTGTTCAATTACTTTTCTGCATTCCAGTTAGTAATGCTAAGCTTGAGAGAATGTTCTCCAAACTTAAAAGAACAACAACCAATAATCGTTGCTCCTTAAAAGAGGACAGAGTCTGCAATTTATTAAGGATAGTCGAAGAAGGTCATGAATCCATTGAAGTCAAACCAATTGTAAAAAAATGGAAAAAAGCTAAGGCCAGATGCCCTGTTCAGAAAAAAAGATTACAGTATCAATCTAGAAGAAACATGAAATTAAAATATTATGAAGCAGAGCACAGTTCATTCTCATCGTCCACTCAACCATTTGAAGAGGGTTCCAGTTCAGACATAACTGGTACAAGTAATGATGAAAGTCATGATGAAAGTGATGCCCAAGCTGATCACTGTCAATGGTTTACACTAACAGTGACACTAGTGACGATTTTTGGGGGTTTTAAAGTGACATTCGGCTTTTTGGAAAAAGTTTACTTTATCAGTAGTGTAACATGTGTTACGTTAAGTTATGTAATGTTATTAAATATTTTGAGAGTTGAAAAAATTAACGGATGTAATTTTATTTTAGTTAAAACTTTCAGATAGGTTAAAGGGCACATATTTCTAGATTTTGGTGTATGGTATTCACAAAATTAGCATGTTATACCAAGTAATTTTCAGTCTGGCACACTTTGACTTTTGACTGGCAACGTGTACCCTTTGCCAGTCATTTTGACTGGCACACCCCAGATCCTTATTTACAGGCTTGCACACATTACATTACATGTATGTGTATGCTTATGATAGAATGGTGTGGATGAGATGGCTATAAGAGGTGTTGGGAGGCCATTTTCTTATTGATTGAATTGTAAAATAATTCCTTATTTTACAACTAAATTTGATGGAATAGTGTGGATGAGGTGGATATATGAGATGTTGGAAGCTAAAGAATGTTGATGGATGTGTCTCAAATAATTCCAAGATAGGTACATTTTTTTACTCTCGAATTCTTGGTGAAAATGAAAAAATGTGAAAAATGTCACCAATACATCCTGAAAATATGTGGCAAATAATCAGTATATTGCCACTTTAACTTACATGTTACCTTTGACATTCCAACTTGAAAAGGTGTCAATTGGCAGAAAAAATCACCCGAAAGTTTCAAAATAGTAGCAATTGATGTTGGGTGTTCATTCATGTCCTAATATAAACAAAGCTATCAATGGTCATAAAATTTTATAAAATATAACAAGTGCATTATGACTTAAATATAACTATATATTAATATATGAGTAAATTTGTATTGTAGTTACTAAGAACATTTGATTATTCTGAAAGCTGCCTGTGGGCGTATGTTACCTTGCCTGGCAAGCTATTTTTGTCTAAGTAAGGAAAGTGACATCACTGAACTTCAACTGACATTTCGTGTGTGTCTGTCCTTGAGGAAGGGAGCCTTTGTGCTCTTCAATCATGTTAGACTTTTGGACTACTTAGTTTTTTCTATAGCAGATTATTTTGTTGAATGTTTACCCATGTGTTGTGCTATAGAATATCCACATTATTTTGATCTAATAAAAATTTGACTGTAAAAAACTTTGTGAAATGGATCATGTGTCTTCTATCTTAATTGAAAGGGGGGATATATTGACATCACCCACCTAGTTACTAAAAGATGAACCGACTAGAAACTTTCAGGAAACGACCAAGAAAATGTGAAATGACCAAGAAAATGACCAGGAAATGACCTCAAACTATATTTTGTTTTAGTAAGTATGCAGTCTGTCTGTCATTCCATCCTCAATTAACTTGTGATTTGTCACAGTTTTTTTTATCCCATTTTTAGTAATTTTTGGTGTTTAACATTATATCCAAGAGATCGTGGACAAATTCAAAATTGGATATGATTTGAAAAAAGGATAGCAGAGTTCAACCCCTGATACACTGAGTTATTTTAAACGTCTCAAAGAATGCAATATGGGCCACCGTTTTTATCTGAATTTGATTTGTCGGGTTACATCCACAAGATCTTGGGCAAGTTTCATTTTGGGTACGATTCAACAAGTTTCACCCTCAATACACTGAAATAATGTTTAATGTCACTTGTTACTATGATAGAGGTGACAGTTTAAGTCAAAATTTTATGACATTTTGTGTGTAGCTTTAGATCCACAGGATCTTGTACAAGTTGGAATTTGAGTGCGATTCAGCAAATGATAGGATAGTTTTAACCCTTTATACACTGAAATAATGCTTGTGAACACAGTAGAGGTGAGTTTAGGTCAGAATTTTATAAACTTTTGGTGTTAGATTTTCGGTACGATTTGACACTTATTGACGACTGCCCTTGGTATACTGAAAAGTTATTAACTAAGCGGACACTTGTTTGTTTTTCAGACAAGAATATTAGTCACACATGGTGTACATTGGCTGCCTAGGATGGATTCTATTGTTGTTATGACAAATGGAGAAATATCAGAATTAGGATCCTATGATGAATTATTGTCTCACAATGGTTCTTTTGCACAATTCCTCAAGACATATCTAACTGAAGAAACTGGTTCCAATTTACATAATGAAGATGATCCTGAAAGTAAGTAGGAAATATTTCAACTGTGTGGCATGTAACTAATGGTTTAGCTGTAAACGAAAAGTAATTGTTCAGTTTGTACCTTCATTTTCTTCATATTTATAAGGAGTGTCTACAATGAGTGCTTTTGTCATATGAAATCTATAAAATGAGTGGCTGGGTTAAATTTTAATCTGGCATTGAATTTCATAGATTCCATATAACATAACAGGGGTATAGGATTCTATCTCTTTCTATCATGTTTGATTTGACAATATTTCGATGGACAGTTTTTGAGTCATTGCCCTTGACTTTTAAAAAACACTTTTTTTGTTTGTGATCATAATAGAAACTTCTTCAGTGGTTCATATACGACATCATATTTATTTTTTAATTTTTAATAAAAAAACTGTAATATAATTATAAAACATAATTTTGAATAAAAAATTGTATTTTCACTTCCAGAATTTTGAATTATAAACTTGAATTTCCACCCATTAGTTTTCACCCAGGTGATAATTTTAGAATTCTGAATTAAAATCTTTTTAAAATTAATTTTCACCCAGGGATAATTCAATAATATTGATTTAAAAACTTGAATTTTCACCCATCATTTATTTTTTGTAATTTGGAATAAAAAAACTGGAATATTATTATAAAACATAATTTTTATACGCCCTCATGAAAAGGGGGGCGTATATTGCCTTCACCCATGTCCGTCCGTCCGTCCACAATTGCTCGTAAACACTCCACAAGACACAATTCTTTACTGATTTTGACAAAACTAGGTATGAGTGTTCGTAATCACCCAAGGATGAATCCTATTGAAAATCAGAATTATCGAAAAATACAGAATTATCGAAAAATATTCAGTATAAGTTATTACCCTTGTTCAAGAAAACGCGTTCAATTTTTAGCTCGTAAACACTTTATAAGGGACAATTCTTGACGGATTTTAATGAAACTTGGCATGAGTGTTTGTAATCACCCAAGGATGAACCCTATTGAAAATCAGAATAATTGAAAAATATTTAGTATGAGTTATTGCCCTTGTTCTTGAAAACGCGTTCAATTTTTAGCTTGTAAACACTCTAGAAGGCACAATTCTTGATGGATTTTGACGAAACTTGGCACTTGGAAACTTTTTGTCATCATTTATATTGATGAAATCTTGGACAAGTTAAAATATTGTGTCATTTTTTAATGAGTTATTGCCATTGACTTAGGAAAAACATGTCAAAATTTGTTTGTGAACACAATAGAAACTACAATTTTCAATTGATATGAATGATATATAGTGTGATTATTTATCTTGGCCGAGTTCAAATTTTACAATTTTTCAATGAATGCTTTTTGAATTATTGACTAACAAAGAACACATTTGTTTCATGTCCACAATAGAGACTACAGTTTTTATCTGATGATTTATGTTGATAATTAAATGAAAAAAAAAAATCAAAGCAGTAATGATGAAATCTATATGTCTTTGTTTCCTGAAGTTGAAATATATACAAAATTTGTGGAAAATTAGGGTAATGTCATGTGACTTCATAATACATTAATTGTTAAATTCATAATATCACATTGGAAACATATTATTTTGATAATTTGTTAAAATACCTATCCTATGATACCAAACATTTAAAATCAACATGAAACAGCCCGAACTAATATTAAAAAAACAAGATATAATAATAACTAAAAATTTAACAAAAACAATGCAGTTTTCAAAGCTGTAATAGATATGTAAATTGAAACTTTTTGAATAGATATCAATTCCTTGGACTGATGAAAAGAAAAATCAAAAGGGCATTCTAAATTTTGTATGTGTATCGTGAACACTGATAGAGTCATTTTGCACCAATCCAATTTTTGGTTAGATGCCTTTTTTTCTGCAATTCCACAAAAAAAGAGTGTTTAATGATATCACTTGTCCTGGAATTTGCTTTAGCATTGGCCTTAGTGACATCATCCACACTTAGTTTTGATAAAATAATCAACATAAAAAAAAAGTCAGGCAATATATTGGTTTGAACAAATTGAATAAATTGACAAAGAGAAAATGATAATGAACTTGCATAAACAAGTTAATTTATAGTCAAAAGGTAAATTATTGATTAGTGAATAATATGATAAACAAGTGATATCTCAAATAATTTATGCAAGTGCTGTAATTAAACACAATATTTAATTTCTCTTTTTCAGTTCAAGAAATTAAGTCCAAGATTTTACAAAGAGTGGACTCAGTAACATCAGATGGAGGCACATCAGCTGATGATCACAAAAGCATGCCAAAGTATGTAATGAATGATTTTCAATGATTTTAAATTTTCAACCTTCACATTTCGAATGCTCTCGATTGATGGATGGTAATATATCAATGTTCATTGAGAAATAAAATTTCAGTGAAATGATTTTTTTTAGTGCCCAAAATTTTGAAATAGTCCATCTTATTAGCCTGTCTTTCGAAATTCTGTGTACTGTACATGTATGTAGACCTTATTTGTGAATTTCCGGATATTGGATACTTTTTATACGCCAACATGAAAATGTGGACGTATATTGCCGTCGCCCCGGTCCGTCGGTCCGTTTGTCCGTCAACATTTCTTGTGAACACAATAGAGACTACAGTTTTCAACTGATTTTAATGAAAGTTGGTGTGATCATTTATATTGATGAGATCTTGATCAAGTTCGAATATGATGATCTTTCTAGGAACGGTTTTTGAGTTATTCCCCTTGACTTAAGAAAAACGCGTCAAAATTTGTTTGTGAAAACAATAGAGACTATAGTTTTCGACTGATTTTAATGAAATTTAGTGTGATCATTTATATTGATGAGATCTTGGTCAAGTTCGAATTTGACTCTCCATGAACGGTTTTTATACGCCCACAAGAATATGTGGTCGTATATTGTCGTCGCCCCTGTCCGTCCGTCTGTCCGTCCGTCCGTCCGTCAACATTTCTTGTGAGACTACAGTTTTCATCTGATTTTGATAAAATTTGACATTTTCGATGAACGATTTTTGAGTTATTGGCCTTGACTTTGTTTAAACGCGTCGAAATTTGTTAAAAATAGTTCGTGAGCAGGATTGAAGCTACAGTTTTCAACCAATTCTGATGAAACTTGGTGTGATCATTGGAATTGATAAGATCTCGGACAAGTTCTAACTTGACGCTTTTTCGATGAACAGTTTTTGAGTTATTGCCCTAGACTTTGTTAAAACGCGTCAAAATTTGTTAAAAAATAGTTTGTTTGCAGGATTGACGCTACAGTTTTCAACCGATTCAGATGAAACTTGGTGTGATCATTGGAATTGATAAGATCTCGGACAAGTTCTCACTTGACGCATTTTCGATGAACGGTTTTTGAGTTATTGCCATTGACTTCGTTAAAACGCATCGGATTTTGTTAAAAATAGTTTGTGAGCAGGATTAAAGCTACAGTTTTCAACCGATTCTGATGAAACTTGGTGTGATCATTGGAATTGATAAGATCTCGGACAAGTTCCAACTTGATGCATTTTAGATGAAATGATTTCGAGTTATGGCCCTTGACTTTGTAAAAACGTGTCAAAATGTGTTCATGAGCACTATAGAAGCTAGTTTTCAACCAATTTTGATCAAACATGGAATTGATAAGATCTCGGACAAGTTCTAACTTGAGGCATTTTCGATGAACGGTCTGGGAGTTATTGCCCTTGACTTTGTAAAACGCTTCAAAATTTGTTTGTGAGCACAATAGAAGCTACAGTTTTCAACAAATTTTGAGGAAACTTGGTGTGATCATTGGATCATAAGATCTCGGACAAGTTCTAACTTGACGCATTTTCGATGAACAGTTTTTGAGTTATTGCCCTTGAAGAACGCGTCAAAATTTGTTTGTGAGCACAATAGAAGCTACAGTTTTCAACTGATTTAGGTGTGATCATTGGAATTGATAAGATTTCGGACAGGTTCTAACTTGAGATATTTTTGATGAAAGTTTTTTGCCCTTGATTAGAGCTGTGTGATTTAATTGTTTGTTGTATTTGGGTTATTGATATTGATTTTAAAAAATTTTGTGGAATTACTCAGCATAAATAGTTGGCATGTATATATTGTAATTGAATTCAAACTAATAAAATTTCTTCAATATGAGAAAATTTGTACTTTAGTCACTAAAGACTGTTATATCATTTCTGACAGGTGCTAGTGGGCGTATGTTACCTTGCCTCGCATCTTTTAACAAATTGCTAAATTTCATGCCAATGACCATACATGTGTAATCTACTGATGTTGTCGGGTTTCTAACACTTTTGCATATTGTGTATTGTTCTACCGACAGGATACCCAATTCTACAGATTTTTTTGTTATTTTCCTGACCAAATTTTCACGTTTCAATGTTCAAATTCTCTACCATAAATCAATAAAATATCTAACTATCATTACTTGTATCTTGATTGCATTGATCTCATCATGTAATAATATTATAATTGCATGATTAATTAATCCCCCAATTAGGATGGTAATTTGATCTATTTTCACCCGATAATGTGTATTTTAAGCCCATGTGAGACACTGTTTATAAAAAAATCCAGGAGATGCTACTTTCCCTTTTACAATAAATTTTATGGTAGCCCTACTTTTACTAAAAAACGAAATCTCGAAGTCTTCTTAGAATTATATATTGTCATTGTCAATCTGTGAGGTCTATTAAACGTAGACGTCGTTTCAGAATTATTTTGTATTAGCGGTAGATTATCATGCACGACTGGATGTCTAATTCTTATGTAAACTCCAACTTCGTTTCATAAAATTGTTTTGTAATATTACTGTGGCCGGTAAACATTAATTTATAGCCTGAATAACAGGCTTACTTATTACAAGTCTTTCCATATATGAAGAATGGAAGCGGCAAATTTGGTTCAATACTTCGTGAGGGCGTTGCAGGAAAATTATTTAATCATCAAGTCACAATTCTTTAGGGATTTTGACGAAACTTGCTGAAATCATTATTATAACGATGAACCCTATTGAAAATCAATAAAAATATTTGATATGTGTTATTGCCCTTGTTCTTCAAAACGTGTTCGATTTTTAGCTTGTAAACACCCTACAAGTTACAATTCTTTACAGATTTTGACAAAACTTGCTGAAATTGTTTATTATCACCCAAGGATGAACCCTATTGAAAATCAATAAAATCGAAAATATTTATTATGACAAATCAAATCATATATAAACGCGCTTTGGAATCTCAAGACTTTTCACCCAATCTCCAGATTTTTCAAGGCAAATCTCAAGATTTTTTTCCTGACCTGTACACATGTATGCCAATGACATGTTTTTATATTTCATTTTAACCAGAAAGTTTAAAGAAAAGATTCATGATGAAGATAAGAATCCTGAAATGAAAAATTTAAAGAAGGATGAAGAGAAATTGATTGAGGAAGAAAAATCTGAGACAGGAAAGGTAAGAATAAACAGTCATATGACTATTGACTAAGTCCCAAACATTAGGCTGGACAGTTTGTTTGGCACAAAAAAAAAAACAAATAACGATATTTTCAATTGAAAGTTGAATTTCAAAACCAGAAATTTATGACCGAATTCTTCGTTTTCTCCCCTGTTATAAAGGTTAATAACTAGCTAAGAATATTTAATGTATTTCAAAATGAAATTATTTATATTTCCGATGCCTGTCTGCGAACTTTAATCTGATTGAACAATAAAATATACTTATTTATATCAGCAAATGAAATCATTTTCTTTCTACTTTTGGTTTGCATGGAGGTCAAAAACACAACCAGAACTTCCGTAAGCAACAGTAACAGTCAGAAACACTGATAAGTCACATTCTTTCGAACGAGAAAAAAATTTTTTTTTTCAAACGGACAAAATATCTGGCTCAAAATAGATTGTACCATACATTTGCCGATCACGAAAATAATCCGAGACATGTTTGCCACCATTATTGTATGAAATATAGCAAAAAATATATGACAACATTATAATGTGGGCGTATAAAAACGCGTCAAAGTTAGGCTTTAGAGGCAAAATTGTTCATCTGATCATGATGAAACTTAGAATGCATGTATGTATTGATTGGGTTTGGTAACAACATGACGAAAAATATAATAGAAACTACAGTGTTTTTGTGTATTTGATGAAAGAATGTGTATGTTGTTGAGACCTTGTCAATGTTTGAATTTTATGATAATTTGCTTAGGGGGTATTGCCTTGACTTATAAATTGCCTGAAAAATTAAAGAGCAGTGTGATTTTGTTAATTTGATGTATAGAAGTAACTACAAAATTTTTTTTAATTTTCAGAAGCGCAATTTTGATTGAAATATTTAGTATTTAATATATCATTTAAAAGAGAAAAATGAGATTCAAGAAAATTTCTTGAATTTAAATCAGAGCTTTCAAGTTAAAAATAGCAATTGTAATAAAAATGAGTATATCATTGGATACATTTAGTAAGGGGCAATAACAATTGTTGAGGTCAGAAGTATACAATAGGTTGAGGTCAGAAGATACAAGCCTTGAAAGTTTTGGCAATTACTGAAAAAAATTAGACCAAAAGCATAAAAAAAATCAGAAACTTCAGAAGTTCAAAACTCTGTTCTTTAAGGATTACTGATAATCGATTGTAGTTTCCAATGATATCAAATCAAGCAAGTTGGGTTATTTTCGTGGGTTTTTTTGAGTTTTACAAAAGTTAGTCATATCAATATGGTGGCTCATCCGTTATTTCGTGGTCATAGGATATTGAATGGAGAATTATTATTTTTCAAATACCTCAAAAGTTAGACAGTTGAAATTTTAAGCCATTTTAACGGTATTTACCTGTTTGATCTAAATTCAGCATAGAATGGTTAGGGAAAGTATTGAAAGATATTGATCTCACCACTGTTAGCCTTTTGCTTGTTTTGTGCGGAAATCTACCAATATCTTGAATTATGTCAACAAATTTTGAATTTTTGAATTTTGAAAATGTTCACAGGCTATTTCTTTCTTTGTTGTGAGTTATATTAACTGCATATTTCTATTAAATTTTGTAGGTGAAGCTGTCAGTTTATATAGGTTATGCTAAGGCCATAGGTTCGCTGCCAGCTGTGTTAATATTTGTAATATATGGATTTTACCAGGCTTTGAATGTTTATTCAAGTGTTTGGCTGGAACAGTGGACAGATGATCAACTCCTGGCAAACAGATCTTTGGCCAATACTAGTATATATCAAGATAAAAATGAAATGTATCTTGGAGTTTATGGAGCATTGGGAGTTTGTCAAGGTATAATTTAATCACCCTTATCTGCCAAATTATGGTGCAATATTTCGTCATTGAATTGAGCAGTATAAGTTTTTAATGGCCGACATTCTCATGTGTGGATACATTACATCACAACACATGAGTAAGCTTTCAAAAAATAATCAAAAAAAATCAAACATGTTTCAAGAGCACACTAGCCTCCTACCGCATTGGACAGGCACACATGAAATGTCAATTTCCTTGGTAGTTGCTAACTAACATTTCAACACTCTTCAAATGGTAGTAATCAAAAATTGCTACAAAAATTTGGTATTTTCTCCTATAAGTAGTATAAGAGTATATAGATAGGGAGTATATAGATAGGGGGCACTTTTTATAATTTATAAAAAAAAAAATCACTTTTTATACACCCACATGAATATCGTCGATGCGCTTTCAAAATCTCGTATATCGCCAAAATCTCGTATATAACTTTTCTGAACGTCGAAAATCTTCCCTCCGAGCCGCATCTATGTATCTTATTTTCGTACTTCTAGTCCAATTAGAAGTTCCGTTCAGGACATGTGACATAATCTCGTAAAATAATTGGTTGATTATTTTTTCCAATTAAAATCTCGTATATCGTAATTTTGATGTGACCTGATAAATAGACGACGTCGAGACGGCGTTGAGCCTAGAAAATAAACAATACAGGTGAGAATATTATTGAAAATATTAAATGTATCAATGCCGTTATGTTTTATAAGATATGTAGGAATAATAGGCATTTTATTGTTTTAGTTTAGTGATTCACATCTGCCCAATAAGCAGTACAAACCCGTAGACACCCTGAAAAGTCGTTTGTATCAAGTGATATAAATTATATGTGAGCCATGGTTTATTGTCGGTCCTCTCCTTGAAGTTGACAATTCAAATCAGTCTGTTAAAATTAAATTGCCTTTCTGACAGCGATATACGAAAATTTGATTCGCTAATATAATGAAATGAAATAATTTGATGGGAATCATATACGATATTTTGACATCTCGTTTCTTTTAAATTTTGGCATTAGTTCAATGATTTCTCTCTTTCAGGTATAAAATTATATGTTCCCGGTATGGCTGGTTTCTCCCGTGGCAAAAAGATTGTCAAAATGGCACTGAAGACTAATGATGAGACCAGTAGGTCTACTTCAGCATGTTCCTTATCTAGAGCCCCTGCATGTACAAATCGCATCATTCCATCATCTTCTACCACATCAAGTTCAGCACAGCTCTTCAATAACGTGCCAGGGAAGTTACAAAATGAATATTCATCTCCAAGTATTGAATTTTTAAGAGTCAACCCACCAACAACTTGCTTCGATGATCTATCTAAAAGACTTCCTACCAGTCCCGTTTCTACTGAAAATCGCATTATTGTCGTTCTACGTCTAAGAAGAGTTACCTAGAACCAATATTTACCACCTTCTCTGAGCTGTTCAAAGTGTATGTTGATGATTGCAAGCAAGAAAACAAGCCATTTTTACGTCGAAAGGCGTTCCGTTCCCTATTTGATGATATGAGTCTGGCAATACATCGTCCCAAAAAAGATAAGTGCGATATATGTTCTGGTTTTGAAGTGGGTAACATTTCAGAAGAGGAATACAACCTTCATATTGCCCGCAAAATAGATGCCCGAAATGAGAAGATTCGTGATAAGCTTCGGGCTGAAACTGATGGCTCAGTTAAAGTCGTTTCTTTAGATTTGCAGTCCCTCCTGTTATGCCCATTACTCACTGCTAGCTCGATGTATTACAAAACCAAATTGGGGTGCCATAATTACACAATTTTTGATTTGGTAACTAAGGAAGCAATGAATTACTTTTGGCATGAAGGTATTGGTGATTTGAATGGTAGTACGTTTGCGTCTTGTTTAGCTGACTACATTCTTGGTTTGGATCCGAACATTAGAGAACTCATCATCTTCAGCGACGGATGTACATATCAAAACAGAAACACAATATTATCAAATATGTTACTGAAACTTGCAACAGAAAAGGGAATAAAGATCACCCAAAAGTATCTCGAAAAGGGCCACACACAGATGGAGTGTGACTCTGTTCATAGCACGATCGAGAGAAAAACCCATTTATATACCCCAGAATTATGTTGATTTAATCCGAACAGCTCGAGTAAATCCTCCCTATAAATTGAAGTATCTTACATTTGATTTTTTCAAAAACTATAATTTGCTAGGGTTTTACACATCTATTCGACCAGGTACTCGTGTTGGCGATCCTGTTGTGACGGATATTCATGTTTTATCATACAAGGATGGCACTATACAATACAAATTGAAGTTTTCCGATGAGTTGGAAAATCTTCCAAGACGGAATAAGAAATGCTCTCCTACTGTTGATGATCCGATAATATTAAACAATCTTTATATAGAGCCTTTAAAAATCAAATCAATTAAGTTCAATCATCTTCAAGAACTTAAGAAAGTAATACCACCTGATTATCACCCATTTTATGACAATTTACATCATGAATGAACATTCGTGTGAGGCATAATAGTCATTTATTACAGATTAGTTTATTTTTAGGCCATTCTAGAAACCATATATTTCGTAATTTCTGTATATAGGTTTAGAGGTATCAATTAGATGACCGGTTTCCTTTTTTGTGTTTACTGATACAATATTTCTTTTGAAAATAAAGACTGTAATATGATTGAATTTAAGCCTTATTACATTCATCAAAAAATCGTATATCCAATTTACGCCCAAGAAAAATCAATAGTTTGATGTTAAAATTTCGTATATTGCCTTATGACATCACAGTTTATGCGGCAGATCTTTTGGTGGTACTGATCAATTCCAGACTAATTTAATGACTTATATACGAAAATATTTAAAGATACGATAATTTCCAAAGAATTGGTGAAGTTTTTTGTTCTTCCTGTATAATTTTTATTATCCCGTATATGACGATATACGACATTTTGAAAGCACAGCGACGATATGTGGTCGTATATTGTCGTTGCCCCTGTCCGTCGGTCCGTCGGTCTGTCGGTCCGTTAACATTTCTTATGAGCACTACAGTTTTTATCTGATTTTGATAAAACTTGGTGTGATGCTTTAGATTGATAAGATCTCGGTCAAGTTCGAATTTGACATATTTTCGATGAACGGTTTTTGAGATATTGCCCTTGACTTAGAATGCCTTGAAATTTGTTAAAAATTGTTCGTGAGCAGGATTGAAGTTTTCATCCGATTCTGATGAAACTTAGTGTAATCTTTGGCATTCATAAGAATCGGACAAGTTCTAACTTGAGTTATTGCCCTTGACTTTGTTAAAACGCATCGAAATTTGTTAAAAATAGTCCGTGAGCAGGATTGAAGCTACAGTTTTCAACCGATTCTACTGAAACTTGGTGTGATCATTGGAATTGATAAGATCTCGGACAAGTTCTAATTTGACGCATTTTCGATGAATGGTTTTTGACATATTGCCCTTGACTTAGAATGCCTTGAAATTTGTTAAAAATAGTTTGTGAGCAGGATTGACGCTACAGTTTTCAACCGATTCTGATGAAACTTGGTGTGATCATTGGAATTGATAAGATCTCATACAAGTTCTAACTTGATGCATTTTTGATGAACGGTTTTTGAGTTATTGCCCTTGACTTTGTAAAAACGCATCAAAATTTGTTAAAAATAGTTTGTGAGCAGGATTGCCGCTACAGTTTTCAACCGATTCTGATGAAACTTGGTGTGATCATTGGAATTGATAAGATCTCGGATGAGTTTTAATTTTACGCATTTTCGATGAACGGTTTTTGAGTTATTGCCCTTGACTTTGTAAAAACGCGTCAATATTTGTTAAAAATAGTTCGTGAGCAGGATTGAAGCTACAGTTTTCAACCGATTCTGATGAAACTTGGTGTGATCATTGGAATTGATAAGATCTTGGACAAGTTCTAACTTGACGCATTTTCGATGAACGGTTTTTGAGTTATTGCCCTTGACTTTGTTAAAATGCGTCGAAATTTGTTAAAAATAGTTTGTGAGCAGGATTGACGCTACAGTTTTGAACCGATTCTGATGAAACTTGTTGTGATCATTGGAATTGATCAGATCTCGGACAAGTTCTAACCTGATGCATTTTTGATGAACGGTTTTTTTCGAGTTATTGCCCTTGACTTTGTAAAAACCCATCAAAATTTGTTTGTGAGCACAATAGAAGCTACAGTTTTCAACCGATTCTGATGAAACACAAATTCGAAGGAGATGGTTTCTTCTCAGCTCTATCATCTCTCATCCCAAAAGTAGCCAACTTTGTCTCAAACAACAAATCCCTCATTTCTTCAGAAGCGCAAGCTCTTGGAGCTGTAGCAAAAGCAGGAGTAAATATAAGCGAAACAGTGAAAAGATCTAACGAGTTGAAAGAATTACAACATATAAGAGAAATGCGAAATAAAAGATTAGAAAACAAAAAAAGGCAATGGTTTTAAAATTATTGGATAAAAATGTTAATGATAATTGCTCAAACTCCTAAAACTTATTTCGGTTCTGACAATCAAAAATCATTAGGTTCTCTTCCTGGATTTCCATGGGCAAAATACCGTGGAGAAAAACATCTCCCTGGTCATAATTACACTGGTCCAGGTACAAGGTTGGATCTGCAATCAGACCAAAATGATAAACCCAAACCAGGTGAAGAACCCGTTAATAGAGTTGACGCCGCTGTACTTAAACACGGTATATATTATACAGAAATAAAGACATAACATCCAGACACGAAGCAGACAAACAAATGATAATCGAACTTGAAAATATTCCAAATCCAACTTTCAAAGAATTCAGGGCATTAATCATTAAACTCTTGATGAAAGATGAAAATGGATATGGGAATAGCAGATGAAATACACAAAGAATTTAGAAAAAACAAACATTTTTTAAAAGTCAAAGTGCTTTATAAAATGAAATATGGTCAGCTGATTTAATTAATATGCCTGTTGAAAGAGGATATAAATATTGTTAAACCGTTATAGATTTG